CAAGTTAAAAACACAAAAGGCTACGTTTTTAAATTTGAAAGCAACCAATCAACGTGTACGCCATGCTTTGATTACTTGTCTTTATTGGCACGTGATCTATTGTGAAAACAAGTCTATGAATCTAGTTGTATAATCAATCACAAGTGAACATATTGTTGTTTTGTACAACAATAGAATGATGATGGTGATACATCATCATATCTTTATTTTATACAACAAATTGGCCAAATAAAATTACCACATGCACCACCATTTGATATGATGTTGCATCATCATCACCTAGCTATTAAATGCATTTATATTACTATTAAAATTATGAATGAGGTCCCAAACATTTGTACTTTTTCTTAATTAAAATACCCTATTTTTGAATTTGAATTTTCTTAATTAAAATATAATTTGCATTGTGATGTTTTAGTTATTCCCTCTCATAAAAATATATATTTAAGGTATTAGCTCTCAATTTCCCTTACTAAATTCTATATATAAAGCATTTTTATTTATTACTATTTAATTTCACTAATTTTCATTGAAAAAGATCATTAATTATATTTATAATCTATATTTTTGGTGCTATAAAAACTTGTGTTTTTAGAATTACATAGAAATGAAATTGTATTTTCATGTAGGTGGTAGGTTGGCAGTTTAACAAAGAAGGTCATTTGATTGTTGATCAATCCATTAAAAAGATTTGAAGCAAATTAAGTATTTAGGTTGGAAAGCAACAAATCTGCTAGGATATCATGCTTTAATTAATTATTTTTACATTGGCTTTAATTTTATTATTGATGTTGTTGTTGTTATTGTCATCATCGTTTGAACTTGTCATGTGCAATAGTAGAAGTACTAGTAGTAATAATAGTAATGCAACATAAACGAACATTAGTAAAATGATGATGATGCATCAACATCCTATTTTGTAGAATAAATTGGTAAAATGAAATTGCTATGTGCATCATCAGTTGATATATATGAGAATCATCACCTAATACATGCAACTATACCACCATTAAAAATATGATTGGGGTTCCAGATTTTTGGGCTTTTATTGACTAAAATATTCTATTTTTGAATTTATCCCTTTCTATTATTAACAGAAAATATAATTTGTATTGTCACTTTTTAGTTCATCTTACTCATTAAAACCTATATTTAAGGTATTAACTTTCAATCATAACCCATTAAACTTATATAAGTTTTTAAAATGACTTATAAATTAAATAGTATTTTCATATAGGAGGCGAGTTAGTGTGTATCAGCCAACCGAGTCAAATCAATCAACCTATGATGTCACAATTAACTAAAATTAAAACAATAGATAAAATACATAAATTTACACGAAAAATTACAGAAATTTTAAAGTGAAAAATTGACCATATATTTGATACTCTAAATTCATTAAGTCGTATAAATAAGAAATATTTTATTAATTATGAAAATAGAATACAGATTCTAGAATTGCCTTCAAAACAAAACTTTTTTTGTTTGAGCGACAAGTTAGTGATTTAACTATTTGGGTCAAAACATGATGTCATAATTAAATAATAAATTTTATTAATAGATAATAATATACAGTATTATGTAAAAATATACAAAATTAGGGAACATTCATCATATTAAAAAATAAAAGTCATAAACAAAAAATTATTTTTATTAATGATAGAAATGAAATATAAAATTTAAATTGACATAGGAAAGAAACCATTTTCCATGCAAGTCTATTGCATTAACTCATGATGTAATTAAATAATAAAAATTTAAAACTAAACATATATATATATATATATATATATATATATATATATAATTACAAAAAATGCAAAAATTTTGTAGAGAAACCTGGGTACATCACTAATATCATATATTCTTCATATAAAACAAAAATAAGTATAATAAATATTGAAAATACAAAATTAAAAAACTTAACAATTTTGAAAATATATAGGAATAAGAAAATACAAAAATTAAAATTATTTGAGTCAAATGAGTTAAACCATGATGGCATAATTAAATTTAAAAAATTGAAATTACATAGTAATACAAAAAGGTTATAGAAATAATTAGAGAATTGGTAGAAATTTTGTGAACATCTCTAGATATGTAAAATCATGTGTGCAGAACTTTTGACAATTGATACTCTATTTTTTATTTTTTTTTATTTTGATAAATTCATATATGTGTATATCTTTTTTCTTTCTGTTGGTAAATACAACAAAATGAAAAACTACCTATGTTTGTCTAACAGATTCTCCAACCAAGGAGGTCCAAATGTTGCACATCCATTCCAACACTCATTTCTTGAGCAATAGGTAGAAATAAAGTGACATACTTGGTTAGCAATCCTACTAATCCATCTAAAGGAGATTGAATGAAACTTGGATAATAAGGCCTTGATGCCAAAAATGATTGGAAGGGCTTCATGTCTAATATGAAAGACTTGAGAATTGGGAAGCACGATTAGATCTTTGGAGTTAGACTTAACAACCAAAGAAGTAATTCCACAATTAATGACTTAAGCCAGATGCCTTCTAAGGGCAAGCACTTCCAAAGTGAGAACTAAAGAGGGCAAGCTCTAGAACCTCTAACACAAATCATATCTCATGATGAGGAATGAAGGATAAAAGGCAATCAAAGCTCTAGAGTTGGTACTAAGAGAAGCTTCTGCATTCAATTTAACAAAACCACAAGGGGGATGCATCTTGGCCGTAAATTGATGTCAAATTCATGGGAAGGATGTAATTTATAGGGGGGGGGGGATCTACTAGTAGACTATGGAGGGTTGGAATTCAGAATTCTACATTGAGTTGTAGTGTACTTAACCCTAAAGAAAATTGGATGACACTCAAAGGGAATTTGCCCTTTTACATTCCACTTAATGGTGGTTAATGATTTTGTACTAAATTGGCATATTTTGAAAGTTCAGGTATTGGATTGGCACGTTTTAGAAGTTTAGATGCTGAATTGGTACATTTTGAAGTTCAGAGACCAAAGTAAGACTAGCCCAAAATAGGGTACTTATATACAATTTTCCCTTTTTTTTCTGTTTTGTTTTGAAAAAATTTCATTATCGTTGAGTTATAGGGAAAGGTGGACTACCTCCCCATATTATACTTTAGATAATAGTTAATAAAATTTTATGATGACATCCCTCCACCTGAGTAAACCCAACTCCCAAGTGTATACAGGATCAATGTTTTTTAATTTTTTTTTTTATGAAATTGGAGATTACCATTCATTTAGAAAGTTTTTGTACTAAGCTACCAAAAAATAGGAGGGGTATGTACAAAACAAACCTCCTTATCCCCTCTTTGGGCCCATTTTGCAATTTCATGGGCTAACGAGTTTTTTTTTTCTCTAGAGATGTAATTAAAAAATGCCTTTACTTGGGCTGAACAGAACAAAATATGGTTCACCACTTTCTCTAGAGATGTAATTAAAAAGTCTTTTTTATCTTTTTAATTACCAAGGAAAGCCAACATCGCAGTAACAGTCTCCTGGATTGAAGCACCAACCAAATTCAAAACGTAAGGCATAGGAGAGGCAAACCAAATTGCTCTTGCAAACGAATAGTTAAAGAAAAAAAAGGGTGAAACACCGATTCAATCTCAGTTTTACAGAAAACACAAGAAGAAGAAACAGAAAACCCCTGAGTCTCCAAAGGAAAATTTTATACCTAGGAAGAATAGGCGAAAACCAAACTTAATTTTATTAGAGACAAGAAGTTAAGAGTTTAACACTAGAGTGCGTTGGGCCGTTAAGTAGTGGACAGCTAACGGCGTTAACGCTAGTAATTTTTCGAAACGCAGATGTGGTCACCTGTGATTGGAAGGTTCATCCAGTGCACCCACGGGTGCACAGAATGTGGACTCGCTGACCTCTTATAAAAGGAACCTCTCTTTCCGAGGGTCCAGAAGAATTTGGCGTTGCTGACCTGGGTCCTAAAAATGTGAGTCTGGTTAATCATCAAGGTCCAGTGTTGGTCGTCAAAATGTTACTCTAAAGTCTCTACATTCCAAGTCCTATCCCCATTCATAAAGTCTGCAAGGGTCATTTGAGCTTGTTTAGCTTAGGGTCAGAATTTTTAGATCCAAAGTACAATTAGGGTAGCTTAGAATTGATGTCAATTCACAGGCAGATATTAATGTATAGAATAAGGGTTTTTGACATTTTAAATGCCTATTTTTCTACAATAAAATTCAGAAATCTACATTAGGCCTGTCCGTGCTTTTCTGCCACAAAACCCCTCCTTTCTTATTCAAGAGTTGCTCCAAACAGTAATCTCTATAGTGGGCCTCACCTTATAGCCCAGGAATGGGAAGATTTCCACCAAAGCCTTGGCTAAATTTTTCCAAAAACTGGAGGAGCTCTTACTAATTTTCTGTGGGAAGTGATTCTTGCTCATCCAACGCTTGGTTTTTAAGAGCTGCACCGAGAGGGAACTTTCCTTGTTTAAGAAAGACCAGGCTACCTTCCATGTTTCCACAACAAATTCCTTCGAATTTTGTCCACTTTAGCTCGAAGCATAAACATAGACATGAGATGGTTTGGGACAACTTGGATGACAGTTTTAGTGAAGATTAGTTTTCCCACCTGAGAAAGATTTGTAGCCTTCCAATTATTTAGTTTGATCTCCCAAGTGATCCGCTCTATCTCCTCGCCAATTCCCTCGACTTTGCCAAAATTTGCAATTATGTTGCATATCAACGTTTATGAATCATTGGGCATTCTCGCCTCCCGACATCAAAAATAATAAATAAAAAAAAAATCCTTTATCTAGAATCTAGATGGTTGTGACTTGTCCCAGTACCAGAATCTTTGCTCTTTTTACACGTGTAAGTGAAAACGTGGCCTTGATAATACCTAAACTACCCTCACGATATATTTTAAATACCACAGAAAGCAAAACAGAACTTAACGAATAACGACCGGTAAGAGATTGTCCGTTCCCGCCAACATAAATCCTCGTGGAGTTGACTACATACAACAGAGACGAGAAGCTTTGAAGACACTACTGCACGAATAGGCGAATAAAGTGTCAAAAGAATAAAAAATAGAGTAAAGGAGGTCTGGATCTGGACTAGTTAAGTCCAAAACCTACGTGTCTCTTGCAACAATTTGCAAGCTTTGACTCCAAATCCTCAGAATGAAGATGCAAACTTATCTTCTTCACCGCACAAACCAAACTTAGCAATCCAACCGGATGACAGGACTAGAACTCTACACAGCTCCACCAGCACCGCCTCCGCCTCCTTTGCCGCCGGCGCCGAGGCGGAAGGGTGCCGGCATTAGGGCATGGCTCGTTGTGTCTGAATCTGGACAGTCTCACTTGGAGGAGGTTGGAAAGCATTCCATCATGCGACGGACTGGACTCCCGGCGCGTGATTTGAGGATTCTTGATCCTGCGCTTTCGTACCCCTCGACTATACTTGGGAGAGAGAGGGCGATTGTTGTGAATTTGGAGCATATCAAGGCGATTATCACTGCGACGGAGGTGTTGGTGCTGAACTCGCAGAATCCGGCCGTTGCTCCTTTCGTCGGTGATCTTGAATCCCGTCTTGCCAACTTCAATGCGGCACATCTGGGGGTGAGTTTTTTCTTTCTTTTTTCTTTTTTCTTTTTTTTTTTCTGGAGTGTATTGTTTCTCAATTCTATGGAATTTGTTCAATTTGGTTTTGGCAGAAAATTGTTCTCCTTTGGTTAATTCTAGATTTTTTTTTTAATTTTTTTTTTTCTGTGGACTCAATTAAATTTCTGTAAGAAGGCAGTGATGCTGAGTTGGAAGTTTCACAGATGGATGCAGACGACTCGCCCACTATTTCTGCTTCCCATAATTCTTCTCAACAGCCCTATGACAATGCTAAACGTACAGAAGTCATTCCAATAGATGGTAGTGACGGTCCCCTGCGTACAGAGGACATGCCAAAAGTGGATGGCCCGAAGGTGTTGCCTTTTGAGTTCAAGGCACTTGAAGCTTGCCTTGAATCTACTTGCAGGTGCCTAGAATCCGAGGTATATACTACACTTCTTTAATAAGTATTGTTTCTTCACAATTTCCACTGGTCTTCCCTTTGAATTGACAAGTAAGAACAGAAAGCTAAGACTTCTTTCTTCCGTCCTTTTTAATGTTGAATACCAATTACTTCTGAAACTTCTTCCCTCAAGGTCTTACTACAGTTATCTGTTTGATACCATATAAACCATAGCTGTAGTTGACTAGTTTTGTGCTGAAAGCATCAGGTGGAAACCTGCCATTGTAATATTTTGAACTTGAAGAAACAAGGAAGTATTTAAATAGACTCTTATTGATTTTTTTCTCTTGTCTTTTGCTTAGACTCTGAAAAATATACAAACTCTAATTGCTTTTTAAGTTCAACTTATTGTGAATATTCTAACCATCACATATATCATGTACCTATGTACCAATTATTGATTCTTTAACCAAAGTAAGTAAAAAACAATATGCAAAATATTATGTGCAGAAGTTCATTAAGCAGTACTAAAATTTGTAGGCATGTCATATTAGTAGAAAACTAGTTTTACAAGTGATACAGATACATTCATTAAGAGTCCATGAGTTGTATAATATTCAATAAAATGTTTCTAGATGTTCCTTTGACATGTCTATGATTCTTTTAGAGTTCTTTGTATATGCGTGTTGGAACTGTTCTTATGGTTGTGAATGGGAACGGAATTGTAAAGATGGGCTCAGGTTCAATATGACATTGGTTAAAAAAAAGATGTGTTCAAGATATATAGTGTGAGCTTGTCTTATACTACCAATCCTTGGCCCAGATAAAGGAGTAATGTTCTGTCAGGTTGACAGCTGGTACTAAAACTTTTACGAAACTCTTATGGTCATGGATCCTGAATTGTCTTTTTCTGTTCATGCATCATACTAGGTCATTTCTTGGAAGTGACACATTATACCTCAACCTGAGTGTGATGAGAAGAATGCAATGGCAAGACATGATTCATGGAATAGCCACCATATCATTAGCTCCTTCTACAGTTTAGAGACCCCAGTTTGTGTGTTCCTCTGAAGTTTGAAACCAATATCACCTTCTGTCAACATTTAATGCTTTTTGTTACCAAAAAAGAGGAAAGAAAATCAAATATAGGAAAATTGAATTTAGAGATTTACTACAGGGATTATAGCTTTGCAAGCGATTGAATTTGAGCAGAATTATGGTGGAGGGTGACTCCTGAATTTTAACAGGATGGCTTAAACAGGGGGCACAAGGCAAGTGGCAGGCATACTGTGAGCGAAACTAAAAATCTAGTTAGAGAGTTGGGTGTCGTTTGGAATTGGACTAACGGATCTGTTAACATGGTAGCTGACTTAACTTGCAAGGCTAGGAGTCATCAGGGAAGCTCTGATTTGGGGAGTAATCATGTAAGGGGAGGTTCATGCAATTTGGGTTTTGGTAGCTTATGCTAGCCTAATCCTTGTATATATTGTAATTATTCTGTACAGATTTCAATAAATATTACTGTTAACCTATAAAAATAAATAATAAAGGAAAACTCATAATGCTGGAATGGTGATCATCAAGAGTCCTCAATGAAGTAAAGTGGAATTTGGCTTAAGCATGACATTTTGGGAATAACTCAACAAGCTGAGGTGTTTTCTTAATTGTTATCTGGTTTGATATATTAGAGCACTCATGGGTTTACCGGGGCAGAGCTGGAACCTAGAGATAAATATCTGTGTAGTTAAACTGAAGCCAAATAAGCTTTAGCAAAAGAATGACAGCTTAGTTCATCAAGTAGGAGAAAATATGCCAAGACAAGAACTCTTAGGTTGAGTTATAGTTGTATTTTGTTGTAGGCAGGTTAATTGGATTGGAATTTGTATCAATGGTTACTAACTATGCAAGTTGGCAGATTTCAAGGATGACTAAGCATTCTGACCTTGATTTTTTTTTTTTAATTCCTGAATGTAATATTTTGTCTTAATTAAGTAATATTAATTAGTTCTAAGTTTGTTTATGCTGTATGGATCAGTTACGTTGTTTTAAACTATTTGTTTATGTATATTGGAACAGACTTCTACATTGGAACAAGAGGCATATCCTGCTTTAGATGAATTGACTTCTAAGATCAGCACACTTAATCTCCAGCGTGTTAGACATATAAAGAATCGCCTTGTTGCATTATCTGGGAGAGTCCAGAAGGTGAGATTTATACAGACATACACACAGACATGTATGTCAACATCTGTTTTGTAGTTTGGAGTAATTCCAGTCCCAAAAATGAATTATAAGCATATGGATAGTTCACAATTTTTCTTCCTCTTTGTCCATGAACATTAATTGTTTGACTTCACGGCATGAGAAAAGGACAATACACTCACATTCTGGAAGCTCCTCCTTTTTTTTTTTTTTCGTTTTGGTCAAGGACGTGTATCAATACTATATTTTTATCAAGATGAAAGGTTATGAGTATGATATTTGAGAACTCCAAAAGAAATGTGAAGGGAAATTCTGGTTACAATAACTTTACCATTCTGGTTGGTCTTGAGAACTACTAGGTGAGAACATCTGAAGCAATTATGCTCTATGCCTTGCATAGAATGCTCCTGTAAAGGCATATGATTCTTACACTGACAGGGCTTATGGAGTTATGAATTCAATTGATTTGTTCAATTATGTATCTTCTGGATCTTGATTTTATCAAAGATCCTTTTGATTTGAAGACACCAAATTCTGTTTGTATCCAATGAAAGAACACAGGGTCCGATTAAGTTTGTATATTCCCTTGTTAGCTTTAGAGCTTGATGTCTGGTTTAAAATCTATTACTTCTGAGATCATTAATTCAACACTCAAAACAATTTAGCTAAGACTTAAAAGGTTATTCCTAACAATTAAACATATATAAGATGCCTTTAGAAATGGATGCCAGTGTATATATATATCAAACTGGTATGGAAGATGCCTTTAATAACTTCCTCACAAAGGGGATTATTTCAGACACATAATTAGGACTTTGAGCTGGAACTTCTCCCATTTGTAGAGGATGAAAAGACTAACATGTACAATACTTTTGGTTCCCAAACTATATTGTCACTTGTAAGATTCCTAAGCCATTTAGATCTCTTCCCAATAAACCAACTAGAAAACCTATTCCCATATATGGGTTTGACCCAAGTAATCATCTCTTTAGTTTACATCAAAGTACTAAAGTTTTCTTATTTTTGCCATTTCGTCCTTTTTGTGCCAAACGATTTCTGATTGCTCTTTGGATTGCTCTCATATTTCAAAGACCCTTGATCTACAACATTTGGTTCAACATAAGTTGGTAAACCTGAGGTACACTAATGAAAATGAGGTATCATCGTGGGTTTTTTCTAAGCTTCTTTCTTTCAGGAAGTTTCTAGGGGTTTCTTTCAAAGGCATGGACGAGGAGACAAAAGCTCTGTTGGTGGTAATTGAAAGTAAACACTTGATGGAAAAAGGGAGAAGAACAAGAGGTAATCCAAAGAGCTTCTTCGTCTGACTTGGGGTTTAAACGACTATGTTGGGAGTGGAAATTGAAACAATAGAGCTTTTAGATGATATTCCATGGAGAATTTAAGATTAATTTCTTGGAATGTTAGTGGTCTTGGCTTTGGTTGAAGGAGAATGGTGGTTTCGATTTTTTTTGAAGGAAAGGAAGTCAAACATTCTTTTATTACAAGAAACTAAACTCCAGAATTTCATTTTCAGAGAAGTGAGAAGTTTTTGGTGTTTTGGTCCTTGCGACACTATCTAACCATTCTAGTGGTTAACATGGTTAGTGGGATTGCTCTTCTTTTGAACTCGAGTTGCTTCAAGCTTTTGAACCAAGTAGTTGGAAAGTTTTCAAATTCAGTAAATCTCCTTTAGATCCCTTTCAACTTTTCTCTTTCAATGACAGGTGTGTATGGACCCAGGCTCTAGCTTAAAAGAAGTGTTTAGGATGGGAGATGCTCTCCCCTTGCTTACAAGTTTAGACAATTCACGTTGGACAATGCAATTGAATACTTTAAGAACATCTTGAGTACATTCTTTGAAAATCAAGGGACTTTACACTAATCCTCTTGTAGTTACACTCCACAACAGAATGGGGTAGCAGAGAGGAAGAATAACATCTTATGGAGACATCCCATGCTTTATCGTTTCAGCACAAGGTTCCCAAGAAGTATTTGTCTCATGCAGTGCTCACTGCATCATATTTGATAAATAGGATGCCATCTGGGATACTTGGGTTGAAAACCCCTTTCTCTATTCTTTGTCCTAATGGTCCCGTGTTTTCTTTACCGCCAAAAGTCTTTGGTTGTGTCCATTTCATTCATGTTAAGGATCCAAAAAGAACTAAGTTGGATGAAAGGGCAATTTGGGGAGTTTTTTTGTGTTATTCACTCACACAAAAACGATACAAGTGCTTTGGTCTGCATACAAAGAGGAAATTTATCACCAAGGATGTTACCTTTTGTGAGTCATAGTCTTTCTTTGAACCTTCCCAGAATCCTCTTAAGGGGGAGAATTGTGGGGTGGAAGAGAATTCCTCTGAAGTTAATCCGTTTGTTTATGCTCCCATCGTGTCTTCTTCCCTTCCATCTTCTCCTCTTGCTCCTTAGTGTTTTGATCATGGCCCTTGTCCTAACTCACAAACCTAAGATTATTAGACTGCTCCTGCTCCCACTATTCAAGATGATGAAGTGGCTCCTACTACAGAAGTTGACAAGATGGTTGAGAGGGAGATGGGTGTGTATTGGAGGAAAAGGAAGAGAGGTGCATTAGTTGATGACTACAACCAAATAGATATGCCTTTGAAGCTGGACAAGGTAATATCCTTGTTACTTCTGACTCAAAATTGAATCTTCCCATTGCTTTGTGGAAACCCACTCGGTCTTGTACTCTTCACCCTATAAATAAGTTTGTTTCTTATTCTCATTTTGTCCCCAACATATTATTCCTTTGTTTCTGCCTTGTCTTCCATTTCCACTCCTAGGTACTAAGAGGCAGTTGGTGACCCTAAATGGAGGGAAGCAATGGATGAAGAAATGAGAGAATTATTAAAGGCGCTAGTACTTGGGAAGTGATGGATCTACTAGTTGGAAAGAGCACTATTGAGTGTAAATGGGTGTACGCTGTGAAACATAATGCTGATGGATTAGTAGAGAGATATAAAGCAAAGTTGGTGGTAAAGGGGTTTACACAGGAGGGCATTGACTATACAAAGACCTTTGCTCCAGTTGCCAAGTTGAACACCATATGGGTGTTACTGTTCTAGCAGCTAACTACAGCTGGGAATTGCAGCACTTAGATGTCAAGATTGCCTTTTCGAATGAAGATCTTCAAGAGGAGGTTTATATGGATCCTCCACAGGGGTATAACATGAATGGAAACGTATACAGCTTGAGGAGAACCTTGTATGGACTTAAGCAATCACCTAGGGCCGATCACACACTATTCTATAGAAAAAGAGGAGAGAAACTGTGGAAAATAAAGAGGAAGAGAAGAAGAAATAAAGGGGGAGAGAAGAAGAAATAAAGAGGGAGAGAAGAAGAAAAACTTCTGTATTGATAATGTGTTGATAAAACATGTTGAGCATACAACTTAAATAAGAAAAGATAGGAGAGACAAACTCCTAGAATCTCTCTCAATTAGGGATTGATTAAATCTTTCCCTTAATCCTAGGATATGACTTTCCTAATTTTATTCAAATCTAATCTATCCTAAATTTATTCAAATCTGTAATCAATCAATCAAATCAAAGCTTTCTAAATTTGCAGCAAATCATATCTTTCTTAATTTTCCGCAAATCATATCTTGCCGACAGAAACTATCAGCATTGATTTCTTATGTGGATGACATGGTGGTGATAGGAAATGACTCAAAAAGAGATCAAAAGACTTAAGAAGCTTTTGGTCTTTGAGTTTGAGATAAAAGACTTGAGACCTCTAAGGTACTTCTTGGGAATAGAGGTTTTCTTCACAAACCAGAATTTTCATCCCAGATGTTGAGATTCCATAACTTTTATGTTTTCTTCACAAACCAGAATTTTCATCCTTTTGTACAAGATGTACTTTGAGCCCTAGAAAACTTGGTTGGCCCCTAGAACTATCCATTCAAACTCTATCTACAAAACTTCATTGAAAATTTTCAATCCTTGATCTATTTTTCTGATTTCAGATTTCTTCACTGTTTTTGGACAAATATGCAACTCTTGCAATCAAACCTTGTAAACCCTTCCTATTAACCTATCTATACATATAGTCCTAAAATCATACTTAAATCCTTCCTAACCCACCATTATCCTCCTAGATTCATCCTTCAGTAATTCAGTTCAGTCCTCCATTAATTGGTTTAGTTGGTCCTATATCACTCGGCCTGGATATGTTTCTCTTTTGTTCACTTCTAAAATTGAAAAATTTCACATTCGCATGCATCTTTTTGTGCCAAACCATTTCTGATTGCTCTCACATTTGGGCAACCCATAAATTTTCATAACCTTTCATCCCACCAAATATTATCTCAAAGTTCCATCCAGAACCCTAGATTCCATAGTTTTAAGATTTTCTTCACAAAGTAGAGATTTTGTCTTTTGTGCAAGACATATTATTGGCCCTTGTAAATTTGTTAAGACCTTTATAGTTATCCACCCTACCTACAAAATTTCATTAAAAAATTCCAGTCCTGCTATTTTCTTTATTTTGAAGTTTTTATCAATCAAAATTTAAAAAAAAAAGAAGTTTTTCATAATCTTGGGACAAGTTTGCAATTCTTGCAGTCAAGCCCCAAGACCCTACTAACCTAACCAATCTCTACTTTGCCTTAAAATCACCTCTTAAACCCTTCTTAGCCCATCATTGCCCGCCAAGATGCATTCATGGGCCATTCCATTCCTACATCAATTTTTATCAGAGCAGTCAGTCTTACATCAATGGTGTTGATCACAATGTCAGGGTACTTTCGTGGATGTAATTCGACACATGCCAAGCATGCCACTTGGTACATGCCTGGTCATAGTGCATGAATCTCACAAGATCAATAATGTTCCTTGCAACCTATAATGCTTGTCTTAGGTGCTAAATGTTGATGCCACTTGGTACATGCCACTTGAAGCCTGTATTTATCTAAAAGTCATAGTGTCTGGATTCTGGAGTAGCCTTACGGTTCCTATTTCACTTAGCTGGTTTATTAAAGATTGACAGTTAATTTACTGGAAGCATCATTTTTTTTTTCTGAAAAAATGGTAATGTATTAAGAAAGGAAAATTAACACCCCCACACCTATACAGCAAGTAGCCGTGCCAAAAGCTACCTTCACCTTTACAAAAAGTATTGCTTATACATTACAAAATAACAAAATAGTATTAAAAAAAGAGCTGTATGGTATATCTGTAAACAATCTGTTTATTGCAAACAAAGAATGTATTCTACCCCATAATTCCTTGACAATTGTTTCTTCTGTTCTTTTCAAGGTTTCGTATAGTTTTCCATTTCATTTCATCCGCAGCCCAAAAAATTGCCAAAGGAATCACCTTCCAAACTACTTTTCCTTTTTTTCTTAGAGTTCAGCTGCCAACTAGCTAAAAATTCCACCACAGAATTTGGAAAACAGAATTGGAGTCCAAGAATGTCCAGCACTTCAACCCACAGCCTTCTAGCAAAATAGCAGTGCAAAAATAAATGATTTCAATTCCTCATTACAGAAGATGCAGCATGCTATCAATCAAAAAACCCCTCTTCACTAAGTTATCTCTAGTTGGACATGTGTTCAGTGCTTCTGTCCACACAAGAAAAGCCACCTTTGGAGCAGCTGTACACCAAACACTTTTCCATGGGAAACGACTTCCTCCACCCTCCATACTACTACGGAAGGAGTAACTGAAAACCTGCCATCCTTACACCATCTCCATTCTCTTTTGTCAACTTCCCCTGATCTTCTTGGGATAAAAATGTAGAGCTTTCGTAGCAGATTAGTCAGTTACTCCACCTTCCAGTTCTTTAAGTTCCTCCTGAAGGGAGACCATGTTGTTGTACCATTTCGATAAGTCAGCAGATCTGCCACCCAAGCTTCTTTGTTTACAGCTAAGTCAAATAAAACAGGGTAAATCTCTTTCAACCTATTTTCTTCAAAACAGAGTTCATTCCAAAACCTTACCCTCATACCAACCCCAATTTTATATTCTTTTCTTTTGAAAAGGGTAAGGTATCATTAAAAGAAAAATGACATACAAGGTGTATACAACTGAAGGTGCTGAAGAAGTCACCCGAAAGACACTAAAAACACAAATCAGCTACAAACAAGAGCCAGACTGGGCAAAAACCTATCCACAGGTTCCAACTGTAAGTAAGATTAACATCACCTGGATCCCAGCTATTTCTCCCTTGATCATATTTGTCGTGAAAATCTCGAATACCACTTCCCTAATATAGCTTTATTGAAGAGCTTCAGATTTCTTATTCCCAAGCCCCCACTTCTATTGCACTTTTCTCCTAGAGGAAGCCCCAGAAATCATATGGGCAATTTGTGAACTTCACATCCTATCAAATCAACCAACAAATCTGCATCTACCTCCTCACCAATAGCAAACAATTCACTCTTAAAAAGTTGATTTTCAGCCCTGAGATTGCCTCAGGCCATTTTAAAATGAAACTCAAATTTAGCATTGTATACAGGTCACCCTAGAAGAAAATAAAGTTTCATCAGCAAATTGTAAAATAAGGGACACTCCGAATCATTCAAGACATGAAAATATTTGTAAAAGCATGAAGTGAGGGGAAGTGAATTCAATTCCATTCTCACATTATGTGGACATTTTTCCTTTTTTCATTAAGTTAGAATGTTATAGCTAGGAAAAATTTCTGAGTCCCTCTGAGTCTCTTCAGTCTGAGATATGCTTAGGCCCCTTTCTGTTTTTATCTATGACCTGTTTCAGTTTCAGCTTTCAAAATCAGCTTCACCTTATTTGTTCAATTTGAATTCTAGAAAGAGGTGGAGCGCTTAAAACTACATCATAAGTAGCAGGTATATTTTTTCTCAAATAATATAATTCTGAAAATACTCAGACTTTGTTGTTTATTTGAAAAACAGGAACCAATTGATGGATTGAATTTTATGACACTCCTAAGTTTGAAAATGGATGAAAAAAGTATACAAAATAGACTTTTGACCAGGTATACTGAATCATGACGGCTGCAATTGGTGGTAGATGAGGTTTAGATGGACAGAAGGAATTCATGAGCAGCTTCTTGAACACTTATGCAGCTCTTTATTGTAGCATAAATGACATTTGTTTACTTCGATTTGGTCGAATTCCCTTTTAATTTTTTTCTTTATCTGTTAATAGGTCTAACTCTGCCCATTATAAATGTATCCTGTTAGCCAGTTTACTAGATGTAAGAAACCTTTTGCATGTTGTGCATATGCACCTACAATCATCTCTCTAACATAACCATATATTGGAATGTTTTGGTGAAGCATATTAGTTTCATTAGAACTTTTTGTTAATTAAATTTCCATTTAACTTAAAACCCTTACAACTGTTATTGCTGTCTGCTCCACTAGAAAGACATGGTGCTTGAATTTGCAGTATCTAGCTTTGGAGAATTCATCATGCTTTCAGATATGTTCTTTATTTCTGCTGTATTGTCATTTCATGTTTCTCAGGTGAGGGATGAGCTTGAAAATTTGTTGGATGATGATATGGACATGGCTGAGATGTATTTGACAGAAAAGATCTTCCGCCAGCAATCTGAAGAAATTGTCTCAAAGGATGAATTAGATAAGGATATTGACCCACTTGAATTTGATAATGAAAGGTGTGTTAATTTAATGGATTGTTTGTATTTATTACTCAATTTTGTTTTGTCAGTCTTTTAAGAGTTTTAACCCATTTATGCCATCTTGCAATTATGGGTTTCATTGTTTTCTTTTTGGTTTATGGTGGTCATGCAAACTGTAGAATTAGTTAAATCACCATGGTTTTATGATCAATAATATTTGCTGGGATCCATTATGTAATATTGAAATAGCTATAAGCACACAGCTATTAATCATCTGCAGTCTATGCCTTTGCATTTTGTTTCCAAGTCTATTTCAAAAGAATGCTGTTACCAAATTATTCCTCAAGGAGGCATGGAGTGCCATATATTATGTTAATTGACCTCTGTAGTACTATGGCTGATGACTATTTCAAGTTCATGAGGGTTTATGATCACACAAGTACAAGAGACCCTTGTATGGTGCTTAAAATTAAATTCTCTTTTATTTGCATGTACAAACTTATAGTTCTCAAGTTCCATTAATCTGACCTCATCCATTACATGGTCCACCCTTCATTTTTGCTACATTTGTTTTTGTTCTTTTCCTTCCAATGGTAAAGAGTATCACTGTAATCAGTAACTTGACCTTTCTTTGTTTTCAATATAATTAACTTTGCTGCTTTATGCATCGTTTAGTGATTTTTTTTTTGGATAAGTGGTGTATAATATTGTATTGCTGATTCATAAAAAAATTATATTGCTGAACAGAGGGTGAGACAAAAAGATTACAAGGTATAGGTATATGTGCAGCATGTACAAAATGTCCATGAAAAGAAGAGGAAAAATAAAAAAAATGATTCTAGCACATTGGTTCCTAAACATGTTATCTTTGACCCCTGCATATTGTTTCAACACCCAGGTCACCTCATGAAGGTCCATTCAATCAAGTTGCTCACTTGCTCGAAGGGCAAGGCTTTTTCTTCAAAAATCCGGCTATTCCTTTCTTCTATACAGACCAAGAAAGGGAAAAACACAAAACAATCCAATGAATTTTCCCATTAGGCTCAGTTTGGAAAGAGTACAGCAAATATGTACAGGACAAATTCAAGAAAGTAACCCACTGTCTATTAAATAGCTGCAGAAAATCGGCCACACCAGCAATGTTACTAGGCAGTGGATGAGCAGGTCACTGACTGACTCCTGTTTCACCCCACAAAGATAACAATCATTATTAAGGTTCATCCCTTTTAGCAGGATTTTGTAGAGAATGAGCCAGGCTTATCCATCGCATTGTTGCATCTTTCAGTGAATAATGTTGTTTGTGCTGTTCAGCCGAACTGAGAAAAGAGGAAGGAAGAAGAGAAGAAGAAGAAGAAGAGAAGAGGAAGAAGAAGATGAACAGTGTCAAACTGAGAAGACCAAACGTCTAACCCAGTTGACCAAGTTTAAAACATTACAAAACATAAAATTACAGGGACGGAAATGCCCCTGCATATGAGGAGACATACAGCTAGCACTTTACTTGGGGGAAAAGACCAAAATACCCCTTTTTAGTTGATTCTAACACTCCCCCTCAAGCTGGAGAGTATATATCATATAATCCCAGCTTGTTACATATATAGCTCACTCTTCCCGAACTCAACCCTTTTGTGAACAGATCTGCCCATTGATCACTTGTTCTCACATGCTCAGTACTTATCTCACCATTGATGACCTTTTCCCTTACAAAGTGCAATCTACCTCTATGTGTTTAGTTTTCTCATGAAAAACTGGGTTGGATGAGATGTGAATTGGAGCCTGGTTATCACAATATAGCTTCATGGGTTTGCTTATTGAAAACCCGATTTCCTGCAATAGATTCTTCAACCATACGAGCTCACATGTAGTATGTGCCATGGCCCTGTGTTCAGCTTCTGCATTGCTCCTTGCTACAACAGCCTGCTTCTTGCTCTTCCAAGTCACTAGATTTCCTCCTAGAAAGGTGCAATAACCTGTAGTGGATCTCCTATCTGATATAGAGCCAGCCCAGTCTGTGTCGGTGTATCCAACTACTTCAAGGTCACCTCCTGGCTTGTATTACCTACGACCTGGGGTCCCCTTCAAATACCGTACAATTCTAAGAACTGCATCCCAGTGAGGCACTTGAGGGTTCTGCATGAACTGGCTTACTACACTGACGGTAAAAGAGATGTCAGGCCTAGTGATAGTTAGATAGTTCAGTTTTCCCACTAGCCTTCTATACCTTCCAGGATTATCAAACAATTCACCTGTGTCACTTCCCAATTTCACATTTAGTTACATGGGAGTTTTAGCTGGTTTAGCACCTAGCAACCCCATTTCTTCCAACAGGTCAAGAACATATTTCCGCTGACAGAGGTTGATGCCTTCCTTTGATCTAGCAACCCCATTTCACATTTGTGCTGTTCAGCTGAACTGAGAAAAGAGGAAGGAAGAAGAGAAGAAGAAGAAGAAGAGAAGAGGAAGAAGAAGATGAACAGTGTCGAACTGAGAAGACCAAACGTCTAACCCAGTCGACCAAGTTTAAAACATTACAAAACATAAAATTACAAGGACGAAATTGCCCCTACATATGAGGAGACATACAACTAGCACTTTACTTAGGGGAAAAGACCAAAATACCCCTTTTTAGTTGATTCTAACAAATGTTTTCATTGAAAGATCACGATAACAAGACTTACACACGAGATTGGCTTTTATCAGGGCAAATCTGTGCCCACACCGTTCTAACAGCCCTTTGCAACCTTGCATTGGGAATATCTCCCCATGAAAATAAAGCACACAAGTACGAAGATATTCTCAATTCAAGGCAGTAAAAGCTGCTCAAATGGGCTTTGCCCTGGTTGAAGCCTACCTCCTTACATACGTCACAATTTTTATGATGATGATGACCAGCGTTTAGAAAACTGGACCGGACTGGCTGGTCAAACTGGTTGAACTGTGACCCGGGACCCTGGCTGGTTAGGTCACACCCCAATAATTGGACTTGCTCAAAACTCAGTTAAAACTGGTTGACTAGCCAGTTTAACCAGAAAATCTGTGAACCAGTCCCAGTTTCATGAAACCGCTCGGGTTCATACATGAGTGGAATTTTAAAATGTAAGTAACAAGACTTGAACCCAAGACCTCTTATTCTCACATATTACTTAATTACCACTAATCCACCTCTTTAGTTATGTTAATTAATGACTCTTTATTGTATATATATTACATTATTATACATGTATTTTAAAGATGTAAATTAAAAGGCTTGAACCCTAGTCATTAGTTTTAAAAATTAAGAAACTTACCATCCATCTACCATATTTAAGTATATTAAAAGATGTAAAATATATTATATATATTATTTATATGACTTATAGTATATATATGTATATGCCACATCATCAAGATTCGACCTCCTGTTCGACCCCTGTTAAACCTTTGACTCGTGAACCTCTCCCTTTTCCGGTTCTATGCCCGGTCCGGTTCTCTAAATATTGATGATGACGATAGCAAATAATGTTTTCAAAATTTTCTACAATTTCTTTTTATATTTATGTCTATAAAATTTATTCTTGTTTGTTACACTTTTTTCTTTAATATGATGAATATATGATATTGAGATGTGCCCAAATGTTTTCTACATTTGTTTTTTGTATTTTTTATACTTTTGTATGTTTTCATCTTTTTCAATTTGATTATTATTTAATTATGACATCTAGGTTTGATACATTTGACCCAAAAGGTTGAATTGTTGACTCACCACCAAATAGGAAAACAACTTCATTTTTGGGTTGGTTTTAAATTTGTATTTTATTTCTATCATCAATGACAACAATTATACCTTGTTACACTTATTTTTCTTTAATATGGTTAATTAATATTTTTCTTTGAAAGGGATAAGGTATCTTTTATTAGAAAAGCAGGAAGAAGTTATACAAGAGATATACAATAAGAAGTTAGCCTAACAGATCCCCAAACACCACTCTCGACCTGTGCTCACTCGCTCAAAGGCCACAAACAATAAAACAAAACAAACCACAAGAAAGTAACTAATCTAGGACCTCTAACAAAACACACCCCAAACAATCATGATCAAGCAGGAAGACAGTTGCTCTAGTAGGCCGAGTTGTTTCTGCCTTTGCCTCTTCTGCCCCTCCCCTTGGTGCTGCATATCCCTCGGAAAGGAGTAACAGTCGTTAAGTCGTAACAATCCATTAGAGACTTGGATTTTCCACTCCCAGACAGACACAAAGAAGAAGAAGAGAAATTTGACCACGACCTTTTTGTCTCCACATATGTACCTGTTTCTAAATATGAATCATTCTGAGAGGTGTGAACTTTCACCTCGTCAGTTAATTTATCTTTAAACCCACTCTCGTACTTGGAGTTCTTGTTCCTTTGAGTAGGACACCCCAAGGAACTTCCTGAAGGCCAACACTTTCTCCACCTGATTTGCATCTACCAACTGTGCAGAAGTATCTTCCTCTTGCAATTGCGGCAGGGATTCCCTATCCCCTCCAACGTTGGGCTCACCTTGCTCCAGATGTGAAGTCACACCTAGCTGCAAAACAGGAGGGTATTCGATGTACAGAGAAGGCCGTTGCTCTAGTTTTCTTCGGTGACTGGTCCTTTGAAGGCATTAGGTCAAGTGACAAACCCACTGACAGCTGCGCCTCATTAGTCCTCCTATCTGTTGATGATGATTGATTCGGGAAGGGAGCCCCTGCTTCAGCATGTAGCAGCGCTGGGAGCCTCTGCAATACCATTTCCCTTGCCTCTCTGCTTCCACTATGAAGTTGTGACTATCGTTTCCTCCCTCTTCTTCTTTTTCAGTGACTTCTTTTGGCATATACAAAGGAAACCCCTTGCCCAAACAAATTGCCTTCATTGTTCCCCAAAACAGACCCCAACATCACACCAGAGGTCATTTGTTCTGAACCTGCTTGCGAATGCAGAGCAGGTGGCCGCTACTTCAAAACCCTTTCATTGCAACTTAGAGTTCGGCAGGCCACAGGTGTCTCCAAATCACTTATTGCAATCCGCAAAATATACTTGACACCACAAACTATGATTTCTAAACATTTTGGTATATCACGAACCATCCTGCTCCACACTAAAAGACAGAGGGCTTCGAGATTTTTCCAAGCTAGGTTGTTCAGGTCCACAGAGATTGTTAAAGAATATCAACCTATTCAAGGACCTCTCCTAACAGTTTAAGCTTTTAGGTTGAATGGTTCTTTGACATGGTATCAGAGCCACTTTGACCAAGTGGTCTAGTGTTCGATCCTCATTACCCCCATTATAATTAATTAAGTTTCAGCACAAGGTATGGGTGGGCCTGTGCTTGTTCACACTTCAAGCCCAATGGGCTTTCGTGTGAGGGGGGTGTGTTAAAGAATATCAACCTATTCAAGGACCTCTCCTAACAGCTGAAGCTTTTAGGTTGAATGGTTCTTTGACAGAGATGAAACTCCCAACTATGTCTCCAAATTCCTTGAAAACCGCTGGGCACCAAACTAAAAGTGGAACTCCGAACACTCTGTCCCACCACTTGCCGAACTTGCGGCTCTGTCTTTCCGAGCAACCTAACTAGGTCCAATGCGTCAAGGAGAAACACATCCCGTTGAAGTAGGGATTTCAGGAGTGAAGAGCTTCGCATGCTTCTTCCTATGAAGCAAAAATGATGAGCCACATGCTTCCTTTGAGCCTTTGCACAGACGAGGTCTGCAGGTTCCGCCACTTGAGGGATGTCCAGCGTTCTACCTCTTCACTTGAAGGGCAACCTCCTGCATAACACAAAATCAGGCATTTGTGCAGGAAGGTTTCATAGTCCCAAATCAGGCATTTCTATCCATTTATCAAAAGAAAATTACATTTCTATCCTTACAATTAGAGAGGGACCAAATTTAAAAAATTTGGGCATTTTAGTCAAACAAAAAATCCACACTATCAGCCACACTTTCAATATTAGTATATGTAAGCCATGATACCAAAATTTGATTATTTTAAGTATGAATCAACCACACCCATCAAAAAGAGCAATACTGACTTCTTAAAATTAAAACAAGCACATTTTATCATTGTTTTTGGAAATATCCTCACTGTATGTGCAGGGGTAAGGCTGTGTACATCTGTCCCTCCACAGACCCTGCATTGACTGGAGCCTTGTGCACTGGGCTGTCCTTAATCTTATCATTTTTTTGAGAACATCCTTGAAATGTTTTGTGAATTTCATGAATTATTATAATATATGGTAGCAATAAAGCTCGGTTATTTTACTTTCATGTGCAAGAGATTTTCAGTATATACTTTATTGTACTTGTGCACTTGCATTCTTTCATCTTTGCTTCAACTTTCAGTTACGAGGACTCAGGGAGCAACAAAAGCAGTATTGGAAACTTCACTGGTTTTAAGCCAAATATTGAAGATTTGGAGATGCTGTTGGAGGCTTACTTTGTGCAGATAGAGGGAACCTTAAATAAACTATCGACTGTATGTTGTGCTTCTTTTTATTCAATGCTTGTCTATATGTTGTGTTTTCATGGTTCTTTTCTAACATGGTAAGGTTAAGCTAAAAGGTATTGTAGGCTTAAGTTTTGAACTCTTAATTGCATGAAATGTAATACTTTTTATAGAGAACTGTTGAGTTTTTTTTTTTTTTTTTTATCAATAACAGGTTCATTATATTCATTGAAACAGCATAATATTTACAGCAAGGAAGGCAAACACTCTTATCTTCCAAGTACAACTTAAACCCTCAAAAGAAAGAAAAGGAAAAAAAAAACAGTTAAGTTACAGCTTGGCCCAAAACATTATTTCCCTTTCTCTCCCTTGTTTAGCTAATCCATCAGCTATAGAATTAGCTGATCTCTTAACCCAACTCATCCTGATTTCCATCTCCCGCACCAGCCACTTGAATTTCCTCCTCTCATTGCTGTAGTTCCATAAGCCACAGTTGTCTTTAATCAGCCACCCTATCACCACCTCCGAGTCCCCTTATTTATGAGTTTTCTGACATTTATATCTCCTTGGCTTTCTGAACTCCTTCCATAACTACCAATCTCTCAGCTCTAAGGGAATCCCCCACTCCAATTGGGCCTGAGAACAGGGCAGAAATGATCCCGTTCTCATCCCTAAAAACACCTCCAATCCCTGATTGTCCAGGATTCCCCCTACAACTCTCATCAAAATTTAATTTTAAGAAACTAGCAGGTGGGGGGGGGGGTCCAGGACACCCTTATAACTGGTTTGGTCTGTGCGCAGTTTGCAATCTCACCCCACTTTCTCAACATGTCATCCACTGTGTAGTCTGTAAATAGCTCAAATGATTTCAGCCACTGTACAACCCTTATATGGATCACAGCCCTCAACTTTTCAGCCCCTCTCTCATCTTTTGAGAAGATCCTAGAATTTCTTTCTTCCCATAATGACTAGCATATTGCAGCCCTTAGTCCTCTCCACATAGTCCTTCCCCTTTTCATGCGCCACCTGAAAAAAGAAGGGGAAAAGAGACTCTACAAGTCTGATGGAGGGTTCCACCTACACCCAAAGAGAGAAAAAGCCCACTCCCAATTTCACTTTGCAAATTGGCAAGACATCAGTAAGTGAAAACCAGTCTCCCCATCCGCTTTGCAAAGAACACAACAATGAGGTGACAAACAAGTATTGGGTCTTTTCTTTTGGAGCAAATCACCGGTGTGGAAACTTTCCAAATAGGATTCCCAACAAAAACTACCAACCGTAGGAGGAATTGGTTTGCACCAAACCTCATTAACCGGGAAAGGAGAGGTTGCAGGACTGGTGGACTAGCAAAGGACTTTGAAGAATGAAACATAAGAAAAAGAGCCTGTGGGGGTAGGGGTCCAAATTCTAGAGTCCACCTTAGAGGGGTCTAAGAAAACATTATCAAGAAGTTCAATGGCTTTCCAAGGTGAAGTGCTTGTGGTCCGTGCTCTAGTTCCACCATCCCATCCATTTTGCTCCAACTTATGTATGCTTGCCACTATTCTAGCCCATAGCTTCCCCTTCTCCAAAGGGAACCTCCAAAACCACTTCCCCAAAAGGGCCTAATTCCTTTTCCTAGTTCCCAAAGGAAATCTCTCATCAACCTCTCCAGCCTACTACAAACCTTCCCTGGAATCTTGAACACTGAAAGGAAATAAATGGGTAAGTTTGCTAATGTGGCCTTGATCAGTGTAGTCCTATCACTCAGAGAGAGGTAATTCTTTTCCTAAGAGACAAGTCGTTTTACAAATCTTTCCACCACCGGGTTCCAAAAGCTCTCTCTCTTAGGATTATCACCAAGGGGCAACCCTAAATAACTCAAAGGTCACCTTGAAAACTTCACACCCAAGTACTTTTACACTCTCCCTAATCTCTCTCTCCTTCAGATTCACACCCACTACACAACTCTTCCCAAAGTTCACCTTCAAATTTGACATTTGCTCAAATAGTTGAATCACCAGTTTCAAGTTCTTGATGAAGCTCACATTACCTCCTTTACAAAACATGATCATATCATCAGCAAACTATAAGTGAGTGAGTGGGATGTCCTCCCTTCCAACCCTCCAACCTCTAATGAGACCCCTAGAGTCTACTCTGTGGATCAATTTCCCCAAAACATCAGCAACTAGTAAGAACAAAAAAGGAGGTAAGGGGTCTCCCTGTCTTATACCCCTAATGGCTGGGAAGAAATCAACCACTGTCCCATTCACTAGCACTGAATAAATAGAGAACTGTTGAGTTGTGCATTGAATTCTTGTCCACGGCCCGCTCCATGACCAGGCCCAACATTTTTGGAGAAACTTGAAAGGGGAAATTTCATTGTCACTGAGTTTCTTTCTTCTCTTGGCAATGTTTGCTTAGACCCTTCTTCTGATAAGAGAGTATGGGCCCCTACTTCCCAAGGCTCTTTTATTTGTGCTTATTTTTTTCAAATCCCTGTACTCTAGTGACGTTCTTGGGACTTCCTTGTGCAAGAAGTTTGGAGCAAGCCTATTCCCCCCAAAATATCTATCTTTTGCTGGAAGGTATACCATGGTAAGATTAATACTTCAGAAAACTTGTAAAAGAAAAGGCCTTTCTTGTGTTTATGCCCAAATTGGTGTATATTGTGCAAAACCCATAGTGACGACTACTACCACTTACTGATTTCCTGCCCCTTTGTTGCAGCTCTGTGGGATTGGATGTCTGAATTGTTTGGTTATAGGGGAAATCTGCCATCAGAAGTAAAATTGTTGTTTGGCTTGTCTACCTTTATTGGCCAACAAAAAAAGGAAAATGCTTGTGGAGATGCCTCAAAACCACGTAGTGAACTATTTGGGAAAAAGGAATTCTAGAATCTTTCTTGACAAGGAGAGAACCCTTTCAACAGTAAAGGAGTGTATATTAAGTAGAGCTATACACTAGGTGAGAACCCTAGACTCCTTTACTCCCTTTACCTTTGTTGACTTTTGGAGAAGCTAGGCTATAATAGCTAACATATCCTCTAAGAAAAATAAATCTGTAGCAGTTTGGGCACCTCTGGAAGGTTTTATTAAACTGAATTTTTATGGGAGTAGTCAAGGCAATCCAGGATCGTCAGGGATTGGAGGACCCTTGAGAACTGAAGAGAGCAATGTCTTATCACAGTTTTCAGGCCCGGTGGGAGTAGGTGATTCTACAAAGGTTGAGTTGTTGGCTTTTGTACAAGGAACCCAGATTGCCAAACAACTTGGGGTAGAGAAATTACTTATTGAAAGGGACTCCAAGGCGATTGTGTGGGTTGGTTGCTGAACCCAAATTCAGTTATTTGGAGCTATAGGGATCTTATGAAAAAAGTCAAATGGTTAACAAGACACATGACAATTAGAGTACAATGGGTGGGTAGGTTGGCAAATGTTTTTGCTGACTTTCTTGCCAAACAAGGGTTATCTAGGGAAAAGCTATTTTGGGTAAGTTTGTAATTTTTTTTTTGTTTTTCTTGTTTTTCTGTAATGTTTAGGAGAGGTTGCACCTCGCGCTTCTCCAAGGGATGCATGTAACAATTTATCTTCTTTGGTTAATGAAATTATCTTTCAACTATAAAAAAAAAAGTCATTGAGTTCTGTGGTAGTACCTTGTTGAAATGTTTGCTCACATGGACATTTTAGTCCTTTGATGTAATATGGTATTCCCCTGTTAAGAATCACTTAACAGGGGCAGTTTTGTAATTTTTGCATGCTTAATGAATAGAACTAAAATCCAGGTCAATAGGAAGGTGTACACAGTTTGTATTCCTTCCTTGAACCCCACTTTTCTACTTCCTCCTACTTTCTTCTTGCTTTCTACTATGTAAGACAGATTTCCCATCCTTTTTCTTCCTTTTCCCTCCTCTTTTTCTTCTGTATTCATAGGCTTTAATATGGTATGAGAGCTGTGAACTCACAGGTTACTATTCATTCCTCTGTTTTGTGCCCTAGTAGTTACAGAACTCCTTTTCGAGAGAAGCTACTAAAGGGACTGAAAAGGACTCATTGTCCCTTAGGAAAAGAGGCTTAAGTGCCTTGAGTTGGTTAGGTTAAGGTGTTTGTTGTAGAAGAACTACTGAATGGTAGTTTTGTAATTCTACTGTACTGTACTTTATTTTTTCCTTCTTGTACTATAATAGGCGTGTACTTTAGTGTACAACTCCTTTTCTATTCTCTTTGTAAGGACAATCTTGTCCATTCACATAAGATTAATATAAATACATCTTTTCTGGGTTGGATCGATCAGATTGATCAACCCTAACAGATCTGGACTTTTGTCTTTCTCATTGCTCTCTCACTTTTTCTCCAGCTGACATGGTATCAGAGCAGGCTGCTCTCTAATCCTTTTCTCCTCTTTTTTTATCAGTGTGACATCTTGTCACTACCGATTGAATCTGGTTTGTTTTGATCTATCCAGAGATCTATTCTCTGTGTTTTGCGCATCCAAGGAGAGAGATTTTATTAGATCTCTTCAGTTTGCAATGAGATTTGAAATGAAGTGTCACTTAGGCCCTCTCATCATATTCTGAAACTTTCATCGAGATCTGAGAAGATTTGAGAGAGATCTATACATCTCTTCTGGGCGGCTGCACCCATACTTTCCTTTTCTAGACTGTGTTTCAAGTTTTCTTCTTCTACTGAATCTTGGACGATTTCTGGTGACTGTAAGAGGCTTCTATTATCAATTTCTTCTACTCATTTGATTCTACATTAGTTCATTTAATCTCTACTCTAACCTTGAGATTTCTATACAAGCCATAATTTTCTCAGGCAATCAGGAAACAATTACTGTCGTAATAGAGGTCTTAATTATTTCAGTAGGTCTTAATGGCATAAAGCTTACGGAAAAGTACGGACAGGCCTAATGCAGATTTCTGATTCCCACTGCAACCCTATAAACATTCAGAAGGTCCAAAAACCGCACTCTATGCACCCATACCTGCCTGTGAATTGGCATCAATTCCGAGCTGGAACCTACCCCAAATGTACTTTGAGCCTACAAATTCTGACACGGGGGTTATCGGTCATTCTCCCTAAAGCTTATTGCTGCATTTGTCCCAGATGAACCTCTTGGCAAACATATTTCTGAAATATGAAAAATAGTAGTGGGGTTTGTAAATCATGCTGAATTTAATAATCTCCTTTTATTTTTCATATAATTTGAAATGAATTCATCTTATTGTAACTGAAAAGTAGGTGTAATAAAATTGTGATTTTATTGGAGAGAAACTTGTTATAAATGTATATACCTATTGGATTTTGAAGAAGAGAACTGATTCTATATTTTTCAGAAAAAAAATGATTCTATAGTTTTAGTACCTTTTCCATTCTGATTAGTGCAATTTAAATAACTTGTGTATTTAAATGGTACAGGAAACAGTGAAATGATTTAATTTCCATGTAGTTTCACACTAAGAAAAATAACTTAACCACATGTGTGGTCTTTTTTCTGCTCACTAATGAAAGAAAACCAGATTTCCCCTCTTCTTCTGTCACAATTTATATTCTTTCTGGATTTGGTTCTAATATATTTCCTGTTATTCCATAATAATGTTCTAACTCCATATCTTTTTGTACTGAAAAGATGCGAGATTATGTGGATGACACAGAAGACTATATCAATATCATGCTGGATGACAAACAGAATCAGTTGCTACAGATGGGAGTTGTGCTCAGTACAGCAACATTGTTGTTCAGTGCAGGAATTGTTGTTGTTGGTTTGTTTGGCATGAATATCAAAATAAGTCTCTTTAAAACTGAAGGATCCACTGCATTTTGGGAGACAACCATTGGTACATTAGGAGGTTGTTTGGTTTTATATGTTATAGCCATCCATTTGGGTAAGAAAAGAGGACTGATAGGGTGATGAAATTCTCCTCTCATAAGGTCGATGATACCAATTCATTCCCTCAGATAACCTCAGCAATACTGCCCAACTACTCAATCTATTGATCTTATGCACATTAACCAAATATCCCATGCATAAAATGATTTGTAATTTTTTATGGATAATATCTATAGTTAAGAAAACAACACTCTACTGAAGAGATTGTAGAGACTCCTGAATTCTGTATTGTTATTATTCAGTGTTGATGCATTGTATTTATCATAGTCAGGGGTATCATTATCTTTGTATCTCTTATACATAAAACTTCAATCCAGCTATTGATCCTCAAATTTTCTGTCCAACATTCTTGTCCTGATTTTGGCTCCATCTTATCTTCTCTCTATTGTTTCTTCATGGTGTTAGCATCCATGCGTTGGTATGGTTTACGAGGACAGAAAGTTGAAGTGATGTTACTTCTGAAGCTCCTATTTTGTGGCAATCTCATTAGTAAACCATATGATGAAGTTAACTGTTGTACATTCATATAAGTTTCCTCCAATCGCAATTAGTGTAATCACTCAGATTTTATAGGATTAATGAACATTTTCCACAGCTTTTGGGACTGACCTGATGATTTTCTGATTGATCTCATGAGAAAAATGTGAAAACATTCTGGAGTTCCATGTCTTCTAGGGGATATTTTCTTTGCCTTTGTTATTTGGTAAATGTTTTTATCTTTGCATCTCATATTCAACAATAAATTTTAATGGGGTCATTAATCCTCAACTTCTCTCTCCAAAATTATTTGTCCTTATTTTTGTCTTCATCCTGTATTTTTCTATTTTCTCCTACCTAGTCTCCCTGATCTCTCCCCAAAATAAATAATGTGCTGTCCTTCTATCAACCGGAATAGTGTAGTTGAATCCTATTAATCTTTCAGGACTTGGAAATTGCTTATGATCTAGTGGATTGGAACTAAAGACTGAACTGATGGGAAGCCGAAGTGGAGAAGTTTTTCATTTGGTGAGTAGATGGAAGTCTGAACTGATTATTGAAGCGAAGAAATTTTTATTTGAGAGCGGAAGGGCCAGAGGAAAGAACCTGTTAAAAATTAGGGAGGATAGGAAGGCCACGATACTATTGTTTGAGGAAGCAGTGGCA